CGTGGCGCCATTTTGGTGACATGTTTGTGCTAATTTATTACGCCTGCGAAGCATAATGCCTGCCACCTGCCACCTCTGCGCCCCTGCAATTCGGCGCCGAAGGGAAGCGCATGCCGCTGCCACATTACAAATCGGGAAACAGAGACACGCGGCCAGGACTGAAACGAGAGGGGTGGGGAGGGGGGGAGCCAGATATGGATGCCTCGGGGAATGCTGAAATGAATGTCTAATTAATTAAAGTGCGAACTGCACTTTGCCCATTGTTGGGCTCCTCGATTTGGCGGCGGGCATTAATTGGCATTCGTCCTTCAGCCCCCCCGCCCCCCGAAATACAGCCAGGTGATTTGTTTGATTTATTGCAACTTCCGCCGGATCAGCGCCCCTGCCCCGCCCCCCAAAGCGGGACAAATTTTCTATGCACACACTAAAATGCAATTTTATGCGGCGCGGCGAGGCTCCTGTCCCAAAATAACATCATTTTCCTGCAGGACTGCACTGGAAAAACAGCATTGTATTTATGCAGTTATATTGGTTATTGCAGTTTTCAAAAATTTGTGCAGAATATTTTGTGGATTTCAGGTTGGAGCTCCTAGTTTTTCGGCGTGCTTGTAGCTTTTTTCTGTTCTGGCGCATCTGCAGCGCCGAAATTGTTGGTCCTGTGCCGCTTCCCCCTCCACCCCCCACCACACTCCTATGCGCACAAAGCTTAGCGGCACATAAATAATAAATTTGCAGCGTTTGCATTTCACCAGCCCTTGTGTGTGTTTCCATGGCATGCAACCTGCATCCGAATTTGGCTCTCTGTGCGGGGACATTAACAATTTATCAGTGGATCGAAAGGCAACAAGCCAATAAAAATCACTCCGTTTGACCGGTGACATTGCGACTGCCCTTCCACTTTCCCATTCCAATCTGCCAATCTGACATTTTACCCCTCACTTCGAAATGGAGGCTGATTTGCGGCATGCCCCCGCCCAGCGAACGAATGTCAAGTGCCGGCGCCATTTTATCCTAGAAATATCACGGTGGCCGCACAACACCTAATGTTTCAATTTGGCTTACAAACTCTTTGCATATTAACTGCATGATTACGATTAATTAAATATAATTCGGATTTCAGCTTTCTGAAAGTTGCATTGTTAATGCATTACCTTCTTTAAATGAATATCTAAAGCGATCCCATTTTGAAAATAACGTTTTTGCGGCAAACGTGTGTACTTTTCGTAATTCCAAGGACCTCGGGGCTGCCGTCCTGCTTTCTAAGGACCTCGGGCGCTGCCATCCTGCTTTCTAAGGATGTGTAGTAAAAGTAGCAAAGCGCAACAAAATTTCCCAATAGGTGTCGCGTTGGCGTAGCCGATACACGAACCACTGATATCTACATGTGTAATTTACGTTGCCCCATTTACACTGACCTGCTTCATTTTGTTTTCAAGTCTCGATGAACACACAACAAACATATAAAATATGTTTTTGTATAAATGATTTATTGTTGCATGAAATTACACATATTAAAAATTTAGTGCGCTACGCGTAGACCATCACCTCTTTTCCTTAAGCTTGGGCTGGCGTAAAAGTCGGTGGGTGATAAATGGCCAACTTTGATGGCTTTAACCCATTACCACCGAATGCCAATTGAGTAGTGAGGAGTGTGATATGAATTAATAAGCTACACGCATTGCAACGCTTAGTTAAATTAACCCTGAAGTGGCACTATTTCGAGCGAAGTTTTGATTCAAATCCAATATCTTCATTACCATCATATACCGATTGCCATATACCGATGGTGTGCCATGGGTTAAGACGGCTTATTTCCCTGGGGCCAGGACAGGGCGGTCCACGTAATGGCTCTTAGATTGTGGTTTTCATTAAAACCAACGGCTGCCAGCCACACAGCCGGCGATTCCTCCTCTGCGGTCACCCTCTGCGGTGGTGGTGACCCCGACTCCTGCTGCTGCGCCTGCTGCTGCTGCTGCTGCTCCTGCTCCTGGTACTGTTAGGTAACGCCCATTGCGCTGGGAGCGACAACAAAGGAGACGCCGCCTTTGAGCGGGCCGGCCGGCCAAACAACAAACGGCAAACAACAAAAACGGTAGGGAAGTGGTTTGGGCAGTGGTCCAAGTGGTCGCGATCGGGATCGGGATCGGGATCGGCCGAGGATAGGAGTCTATAATCTCGTTCGCTTAAGCGTCACGCATGCCACTCCCCTAAATTGATATGCCCGCGATGGCCAAACACCGGCAAACATCATCATCATCGGAGCGGAGGAAGTGGCAGTGGAAGTGGTGGCAGTGGCAGTGGAAGTGGTACCAGTGGTACCAGGCGGGAAATCATCAAAGCGCTGCCACGGCGGCCTCTTTTCATTTTTTCCCTTTCAGTGCGGCATTTCAAAGAAACGTTCCGACATTTCTACCAGGCGAACAGAAACGTCGACAGCCGGCGATGATGTGCTGTGCCAAAAAGTGAATGAAACCGAAAACTCGGCGCAAGAGCCGCCATGTATACCATGCCATACCATGCCATACCATACCATGCCACACCATCCGTACACGCACCACCAAACCGAACCACCTTTTTTCGAGGCGTCGCTGCTCTGCCGCTCCTCTGCCGCTGCTGGCGGCGGCGTATGAAATTGGCTGTGACCCGATTATATATGCCGGTATAAGTTCTATTCGCTGGCCATTGTCGTGGCACTTCTGGGTCGCGGCGGTCCGGGTCGTCGTCGCTGCAGGGGGAGAGTCGCTGCGAAGGGTGGAATTCGGGCAAGAGATACAATAGTGCGAAATCGTGCTTCTAATGACTGGCTACATGGACGTGGGTCTAGGGGGGATCCTCGGTTCCGGCGCCTAGGAACTGCAACCACACAGCACACCAATAAAACCATCGTGGCGTCGCTTCTAATTTTTTTGTTCGTTTTTAATGTTGCTTTACACACATAGAATAAACATTTGAGTAGTATATAATATTGCACATTTCAATGTGGCTTAACTGTGGTTATTTCCATAGATATTTGGCTAAGGGCTTGGAGCCAGGTCTCTGCGCTGAGACGAAACAAGTGTGATTCCGATTATAAACGCTGTCTCTGGTGAGTTGGAAAAGTGGATAGTGCAGCTGCTATAAGCCAAGTCCCTAGTGGGACGGAACATGTATTTTTTTCGAGTGCTGTAAGCTGCGATTGAGCAAATTCACTGAAAAAACAATCAGCACGATTACTTTTACTTGCTTTCTGAGTATATTCTATATTAGGTGTGATTCAATTGTGATTATTTCATAGACACTGTAATGTGCTTTTGGGCAAATCCCAAAAGGATCAAAATTGCGTTGAGCACACTTTAAATTTGTGCATGTTCAATTGTCTCTGGGGTTTCAACAAGCTTCATGTATTTCGGTTCGTGTAACAATCAGTGTGTTTGCTGTAATCTGCTTGTGTTTACTTAACTAGAAACGCCAACCAGCTTTGCATTAGCTTGGTTCGCTGCGTCTAACAATCCATCTCCCAGTGCACTTATTTTAGGTCTAAACGAGGGAACAGTGCCAAAACCGATTGATTGGCGAATGTTTTCGTGACCAAACTACTTACTTTGTGTGGCTTTTGTGGCTCTTGTTGCATTGGAAAATGCTTACCTAAAATTACAAATGAAAAACCGCTTGCACTAGTTCATTTCACTGCCTATGGGGCTTATTTCCTGGAGCTATGATCTATAAACAAACATTTGCTGAAAGTAAACTCTGCCTTACTTGTGGGTTTGTTGGAGTGCAGGGCGCCATGCAACTATAAAAAATGTTAACTAAATAGGAAGCGAGGAAGTGTGGATTAAAACATGCGTGTTAATTGAGTGGGATTCGAATGGAAAGCGTGCCAAGTTCTAGGTGTTCTAGGTGTTCTATGGTTAGATAGCTTCTACTTATATGCGATAAGCAACTCTACAGATTATGGTAAGTTACAGTACCTTCTGACTGTACCAGACTGTGTGGTAGTTATTTGTGATTGGTGTTTCATTACAGTGATGTTCAGAGCCCGCTTGCGGCTCAAGATGGGTTCTATTGACAGAAACTCGCACCCTAGATACAGTAAACACTGGGTAAGGGCACCGGACGAAAGCTAGGGTTCTGTGTGCCTTCGATGGGCTCGTTGGGTGTGGGTGCTACGCTCGACATGGCTACTGGATATCGGTTGGTACTGTGGGTGGCTTCGTTTGTTTAAGGGTCTCTTTATTATTTTTGATTTGTGTTATAATAGTAGTCGTTTGTTACCGGTTCTACATCGTTATCTCCTTATTCTGCTCTGCTTGCTGTTTATCATCGAAAATGGTTCGCATTTCTCGTTTTGGTATCGTTTAATTTACATTTATATAATTTACACATGCAGCAGAATATAATATGTTTGTGATTTAAACTTGAATTTGTAGCGCATATTACACAATGGCGCGATACATTAAGATATAGGTATGCATATCCTCTTTGTTCTCAATAAATTCTCAATAAATTCATATGGATTAATAACATTTATATATATGTAGGTATACACGTTGCTATGTAATTCTCATAAATAATTGTAGCATGTTTAGTTACTCGTATGTTTAAAACACTTAAATTGCATAGTTAATTATTTTGCACAAAAAACCTTTAATAGGTATGCTCCATGTTCTTTAATTCTTTTATTGTTTTCTTCGAGTGTCGGTGTTCTGTGTATTTTACTTGCTTGATTTATCTTCAATAATCATTAAGTTCTTTGATTTATCAGTTTAGTACATTTAGATATTAGTGGCCTCAGCCAGCATAATTTTTTGCTGGTTTTTACCTTTTTTTTGGATTTCTCATTCGTTTTTTCATCTTTTTCATCTTGCTTAGTAACACAAATCTTGCCAAGTGGCTAAATAGATATATATATTTTGAATGCAGCATATGTTTACACATCGATATTGTTAAATGTTTCACTTATCGCTAAATGCCTCGTTCAATCAGATCTCATATTTGCTTTGGTTTTCCAAAAATGTATGAAAGCCTGCTCGTTTTTTATTGGTTTGCTACTCGACAGCCAATTGAATTAACAGCAGCAGAATTAACTTTCACTCTGCTGCTCCTGCTAATCAATGCCTCGAATATTCCCCACTTTTTGTGCCTGAATTGCGTTTTGTATTTATTTGTATTTGTATATTATCTCCGCGGTTACCAAACTCAATCCTCCGAAATAAAACAGTGAGAACCTCAGACCAAGTTTGGTTGCCCCTCTGATAACTTTTACGCGTTTCTCCAGTCACATGACGTGGAGTCACATGTCCTCCTCTGTCCAGCTGCCCATCTGGCCCAGCCGCCTGACCCTTCACCTTGGTGGAACAGCTCCCGAAGTTGCCGCACTCCGATCTCTCGTCTCAACGTGAATCTCATTGTGTAGGCCTAATGCTAATTCGGTCCGATCGGTCAGTCCCGGTTTTCCGTATCAGTATCAGAGTCAGTTTCAGTATCTGTGCTGTATGTATCTGTATCTGGTCGGGAGTAGCTGCTAGTCCGGAGTGAGATGTGCGTATATACAGCCAGTTCCCGGGTCTCTGGGATCTCGGGGATCGGTGTCCGTCCGGTTGTTGGTGGTCGGGTTATGTTTCTTTAGGAACTCAAACCATTTTGTATCCTCGTTCTGGGTTCGTGGCGTCAGTCGGTCGGTCCTTGGTAGGTCGTCTTCTCCACCAGCTCATCAGCGCCTGATCGCCTGATGATCTGATCTGCTCCGATCCGAGTGCCGCGGCAACATCCCGGGCTGCCCGTTGAAGGTCGAAGGTCGAGCACTGGCCAGATGGCAGTGGTCTCCATTGGCCAGTTTCCAGTTTGGATCTGCAGCTCTTGCTGCTCTGGCTTCGATTTAATCTTCTTCTGCTTCCCTTTAATATGCTTGCCTTACAAATAATAAATTAGGTTTCGCTAGTTGGTTTTGTATATCTATGTTACACCATCAATGAAAATAGATTGGGGAAATGATGAATGCTTCGGTTGTGCGTAGCTACCCTTTCGCATACTGGGTACTACACGCAATAGGTACGATTTTACATATACGAGTATGTATGTTGTTTATTCTTGAATGGAAAGTCCGTTAGACATATATGCATCATCATATAATAAGTGGTTTTATATGTAAGTTCCTTCAATTTTCTACGCATGGTTGTTGTTTCCTCCTCGTTTATCATTAACACGTTATGTTTATGGTTATGTCGAAATATACATCAATAATTGCCTTTATATGCGATTGACTATAATACGATACATTTACGTTGCTTGTTAGTACACTTATTTAATTTGTATTTTTTCGTCGAAGAACATTTGAATTGAAATTGTCGTAGTTGTATTCGTATGTATCTTAATAACTTTGAAAAACGTTGCTTCAAGTACTCGAAAATCAATCGAAAAACTCACTACTAAATATTTTGCTCTAAAACAATTAAGTTTAACTATGCTCATATTTCTTATTTCTTTTTCTTTTTCTACCACGTTAATAATTTTCTCATTTTTTCTTTCGCAAGCCCCAAGTTGTTGTTCGGACTTGCCACAGTTATTGTAATATTGTTTTCTCATTTGCTTTTACTTGTAGTGTAGTGTAAGTAGTGTTCTGGGTGTTCAACGAAGGAAAAATGCTAAGAAATTAACAGTTTTGCGTCGAGATTATAATTTTTCATATTCGTTTTTCTTTTTTGCGTTTTGCTTACGTTTAGCTGAAATGTATTCTATCTTTGTCGTCATGGAATAATTCGAACTACGATAACTCATTTTCATTATGCTTAAGTTCAACTGCTACGTAAACTGCTAAGTATGGTATTATTTATTTGATAATTTTTTTGAATATTTCTTTGCTAATTTGCAGCACTTGCACTTACGTCCTCCTCAATCTGAGCTTATTTCATTTGTATTTTTGGGTTTTTCGCGTTTTTTTCTCGTCGGATGCCGGAATCGGTAACTGTGCCTGGTCGCTGTATCTTTGTATCTTTCGTGTGGTGTGTGCAGTGTGGTGTGTCGTTTGGTTCCTGTGGCTATCTAGATATATTCCGTGGTGCGTTTCCTGTTTGTCCGGGTTCGTTCCGGGTCGTCACTGGATGTGGGGTATAGGTATTGGGCTGGAGATGTTCTATCCAGCTTTCCAAGGCTGCAATTCAGTGTATTGCATCTCCTTGTCTTATTTTTTTTTTGGCTTTTCTTTTTTTTTGATTTTTCAATTTCGTTTCCCCGGTGATATTCTGCAGTTTGTGGCACATACTTCTAACGGCACGCGAAGCTCCAACCTCCCCCAGTAACCCCCTCCGCCCCCCGACCCATGTGTTTAGCTGCCTCAGGTGGTGAAGTAGATCGTGGATCCAAGGCCGAGGAGCGGACTGGCCGGCAGTTGCTGGAGCTTCGGTGCCGTTCCTCTGACATTTATGTACTTACTTCGATAATATACGCATATAGTAATGTAGTACACATAGTAGTTGTGATACAATCAAGTGTGGCTTACGTCTAGGAGCGATTGATAACTGAACAATTTCTTGACTTCGCACACATACATATGGTCTGGTAAAACACCCATGCTGGTTGGATAGATAATGACGTTCACCATATTGTATATGAATAATATATGTTGTATACAAATATATCTGTTAAGTGTGATTATATCCTTGTATAATTAATTGTCATACACATCAATAGTTGCTCCTCCTCAAACTCTCTCGTTTCATGTTGTAAATAGAACTTTGTTTGTTAGGTACAAATTTTGCAATCTTCATTCTTGTATATGTCTGTCTTGTATATGTATGTGGGTATGTGGGTATGTGGCATGTGAGTGGTACAGTGTAGAGTGTTTTTCTCAGTGTATTCGTGTTCTAGTTCTGTCTGGCTTGGCATATGTATACCGTTCAGCGATTGTTGTCGTTCGTTTGCTGGTTTTCAAGCACATCGATTAGAGTTTAAGTTTAATGCCAACATCGATATCGAGTAATGTACGAGTAAGTAAAATGCCTCATAATTGAATCCAATGCTTAACAGCTAGACATGTATATAATATAAGTTATGGCATGGTTGTAAATATTCTTGTATATCCTTTAACACTCAAATATGCTATATGTATATATATCGTGCGCTTCTATAGTTGCTTGCGCCGCACAACTCCGCCGCTCGGGAATCCGCCCACATGGACGCACCCCGGGTCTCACGGGCTGGTGCAGACCGGGGCGGCGTGGCACGTCCGGGGATGCCCTTTCCGGCAGTTGTTGTGCTCCTCGGCGCGGTGTAGATAACCGAAGATGTAATGTCCTCCTGCTGACAATCTCGTGAAGCCTTCGCGGCGTGCACCTGGAACCTTCCCAGTGCTCACGCCAAATCAAAATCAAACGCGAACTCAACTCATTACTAACTATAACGAACTGAAAAGACCCCCGAAACGCTGCAACAATCATTAACCTGAGGCTTAACCTTCAACCCGATCCTGGATCGGATTGGCTTACTTCTTCGCCTGCTTCGCCGGTTTCGCTGGCGTCCTCGGCTCGGCGACCTTCGCCTGCCGCTCCTCCTTATCCTTCTCCTTCTCCCTCTTGGCCGCGGCGGCCGCCTTGGAACTGCTGGTGGGCGCCTCCTCCTCGGCTGCCTCCTGCGCCTTGTCCTCCTTCAGAGGCTCCTTGGTGGTGCTGCTGCTGGAGCCGCCGGAGCCGCCGCCCACCACAGGATCCTTGTCCAGCTCCCGCTTCTCGCCGGAGGTGTTCGCCGGCAGGGCCTTCAGGATGGCGTGCACCTCCTCCGCCACAGCCATCAGCACGAACTCGAACTGCTGTCGCGTGGCCACCACGCCGGCCCGCTGGTCACGCAGGTGCTCCAAGGTGGCGGCGATGTCGATCTCCCGCGCTCCCTTGTTCATCCGCTCGAGCACCAGGTCCAGCAGGATGTAGGCGCCCGTCCTGCCGGCTCCGGCGCTTCCGTGCACCACAATGGGACAGGAGCGACGTCCCCGGTAGGACTTGTTCACTTTCCTGGAGGTTACACAAATGGGCAATGTATATCTTATCATTTCATTCACATTTTTAAGAGCGGCCCTACCTCCTGAAGTCCAGCAGCGCCTTCGCCTGGGCGGGCACACCCATGTGCGGCCAGGAGAGGAAGTGGAACTGGGTGACCGTTCTGGTCTCGCTGGTGCGCAGGTTCTTCAGGTAGAAAGAACGTACGAGGTAGTCGTCACACCAAATGTGCTCACTAACAAGGTGAACCTGCAAAACAATACTTTATCCTACCCATTTAAGCAACCAAATCATGAAATATTCTACCTCATAGATGTGATACACCTCGGCACCTTCTTCCGGCCAGTAGCGCGCACAGGCCACCTCCCCGTTCTCCTGCAGGCGGCAGAGGGCCACGATGACGACGGCTCCCTGCTCCCAGATCATCTGCCAAAAGTGGGCCAGGGTCGATGGAAGTGGACCCTGGGCGGCCACATAGGCGGGCGCACGTGGATCGTGATCGGTCTGTGTAGGAGTGGTAGGAGTGTCATGGGTTGAGTGTCTTGGGTAAGTCAACGCCACTTACAATCGTCGATGCGTTCACATAGTCGAGTCCTTCGGCGTTGGCCAGGTGGTTGAGCACTACGCGCGAGTGGTCATACGGCAGGGGAGCTCCGGGCCTGTTGAGACCCGCACATTGCGGCTGGGAGGCAGCCTCCCGAGCACTGGGCTCCGCCTCGTAGCGGCACAGGGCCTCCCATTCCCGCTGCAATCGTCCCTTGTTGCGCAAGTGGTCCTCCATGTAAGACTAGGGAGATGCGAATGAAGCAATAGCTCAACTCATGAGGAGGATTGGGTGACTCACCAGCACCATGTGCCCGGTAGAGATGTCCATGTTCGTCAGTGCTGGCTCTTCGCTCCAGGAGGATGTGCTGGACCGCGAGGATGGCGGGCGACCTTCGTTCTCCTTGCTCAGCGATGTAATCCGCCCGCTCGGCGCCGGTTCGTTTGACCCACCGCCGGCAGCTCCGCCGGTCGAATTGCCACCGCCGCCCGCCTTGCCAGCCATCCTGGCCCGGCACAGTTCCTGGTAGTCCTTGCTGCAGGTCTCCGCTCCCGCAATGCCGGACTGCAGACCGCCCAGCTTGTCCCGCTTGCGGTCGTGCCGCTTGATCAGGATCAGGGTGACGAAGATCACGATCACGGCGGCCGCTCCGGCGCCAGCGAACATGTAGGCCATGATGTGGGTGACGTCGGGCCCCTGCTCGGCCAGCTCGATCCGAGAGGACGAGACACTGGGGTCCTGCAGGTCCTTGATCACGTCACCCACCCCGGCGTGCAGCACATAGAACCCGACGCGTCGCTGGATGTTGTTCTTCACGCCGCGGTTCTCGTTGATGGTCCGTGCCACATCGCCGGCGGTTTTGCGCTCGGGGTTGTTTGAGTTCACCCGGAAGCTGACTTCGTGTTGTTGAACGCTGATGGGGATTCGGTGGGGTATGGGTCACTGGTGCAACTGATGCAACTGGTGTTAGGTGTCTTGGGTACTCACGTTAAATAAGAAAAGTATCCCTGCATGTGTAGTATTTGCTCCAGCTCCTTCATGATGCGCTGCCCATCGTTCCAACTGTCGATTCTGCAAGTTGAGTGAAAGGCTGATTAGTAATTTATGGATAGGGATTAGATGTCCAGCGGGACTCACGGGTTCTTGACGAACACATGCACATATTCAGTGTCTACGGTGTGCGGCGCATGATCCTCGGCCGAGTGCTGCTGCTTCATGACCTTCTTCTTCTTGTGGGCATCGTCCTCGGCATTGCCCTTGATGTGGGCGGGCAGGACCTCCTTGTTGCCATGGCCCTCCTGCTTGCGCGCCTTCTCCGTCTCCAGCTGGTTGGTGAGCTCCGCGGAGCCCAAGGACGGGGGTCCTAGCAGCGGTCCGGGTTTCTTCACATCCAGGCGTTCGTGGCGGGCGAATCCCAGCATGTTGGCCAGCAGCGACTGCTTCACGTTCTCCGGCTCATCGGCCTGCATGCCGTCGGTTTCCGGTTCGTCCTGCGGCATCAGGAGCAGCCCACCTTCGGTGTAGACCCGCTGGCTCTTCGTCTGCCGGGGGAAACTGTTGGAGGCCAGCATGGCCTCTTCTTCGAGAGGCGTCAGCGAGTTCCTCAACAGACCCGACTCGAAGGCCATTTCCTGCTGCTGCAGGCTCACATCGTAGGGATCCAGCTGCTTGAAGGTCGCGGGACGGCGTTTGGCCAGCTCGGGATTGGCGTCCACTTCGGTTTCCGCATGCCTGAAGCTCAAAGGCGGCTCCTGCACCAATCCCTGCTCGTCGGCCAGTTCGCGGAAGAAGGAGCGCTTCGGCTGGTCGTCCCGCACCGCCACTTCCTCGGCCAAGCCCCCTCTGGAGTGACCCCTTGCTCTCTTGAAGGGGGCAAAGTTGTCCGGGAAGTACAGCTCGCTGGACTCGTTGACCTCATCGGGTGGCACGTAGACCGGTGCCTTGGCCTGCTCCTGCTGCTCCTTCAGCTCGCGCTGCTGCTGCTGCTCCACAATGGCCTCCAGTTGGTCCATGGCATTCGGCTGCGCCGCCGGCTTCCGCTGGTACGGCTGCGGATCAGGCTCGGAGGCGGCCAGAATCTGGTACAGTTCCAGCCGGTTCTGCTCCGCGCGCCGATCGGCATCCTGCTCCGCCGCCGCCAACTGCTGCTCGCGCTCGATCCTCTGGCGCTCGGTGTCCAGGAAGGCGTCCATGATGCTCGGCGCGTCCAGCTGGGTACTCTGCCCGTGCGCGTCCATCTTGCCGAAGTGCTCCAGCTCCGAGGGATCGTGCCTCAGCCGCCGGCGATCCTGCAGCATCCTGTTGAGGTACAGATCGTCCGCATCGCTTTCCCGCTCCTGCTTCTTCCGCAATGCCGGATAGAACTGCGCCGGACCGCCGGGCTGCTCGTAGTAGTCCAGTTCGGCTTCCGGTTCCGGCGGCGTGAAGCGCACGTAGGCCAACGCACTCGCCGGATCCCCGAACTCCGGAGGAGTCGGCGCCAGGTTCGCGCACAGATTCGGCGGAAGTTGCTGTTGTCGCTGGAGCGAGAATAGTGACCCCTGGATGCGGCACTGCACGTACGGATGGTCCCATCCTAGGCCGGCGCCCTGGAGTTCCTCCAGCATGGTGGCCAGCACACGGGACTGGTCCTCAGTGAGTGGTGTCCTGCGGAGTGTGGAATGTGGAATGCGGAATGTGTGAGAAGGCGTTCTTTGAATTTCATGGGACTAATCAGGACTCTTACCTCTCAATGTCCTCAACGTCCACACCGGTGGTTGGAATGCACTTGCCGAAGATGTTGTCTGCAATTCGGAGGCCAGTCGAGGGGTTAGTAGAGTAATCTCACGGAACTTAAGGTACGCCATCTACTGCTTCCCCAATTTGCTCCTAACTTTTTATGCCTTTCTGAAACTTTGCAGCAGATGATCCTGCCGCACAACTGGAACACTTACTCCCTGGACTTACAAATGAAGTTAAAACTTGAGGATTTTACTTTGAAGAGGGAACTTGCCGCGGATTCCCATGCCTACGTGGTGTCCTTATCCGATCCTGAACTCAATTCCCGCAATCATATATTAATGGGGCATGCAACTGCATTAAGGCGCTCGTCTGACAATGGTTCCCTCCTCCCCGGAACCCTGCCATCAGCACCTTTTGTTTCCATTGTGATTTACGACCATTTAAATGCATATCCTTGCGGCTTGTCTTTGGCGTAATTTGCATAATGTAAATGCTTCTCTCATGCGGACGGAACCGTGACTGCGGCGACCGAAACTGAAACCGAAGCCACTGCCACTGCCACTGCATGTGTGGGCCACGCCCCTGCTCCTCGCCCTGCACCGCCCCTTTTGAGGTCAACCATTTTCTCAGCAATTTTCGCCATTTCTCGCAGCGTTTTTCCTGCTGCAGCTGCTTTCCAATTGTTCCTCCTCCGCCCCTCGTTGTGCTTACATAAGTAATTGAGTGTGTTCTCGATAATGCAGTGGCAGTCCTCACATCCCGACTTCCCTGCCTCTGGATGCCCCAATCCTCGCCAGCGCGCACACTTTGTTTCGGTGTCGCTTTGTGTGAACTCTGACCCCTCATTGAAGCGCTCTGCAAATACGAATAATATGCGAACGAAGTTCGCCTTCTCCAGCTGAGTTTTCCCGCAGTTGCACCAACTCCTTGCATTTGGGCAACATTTGTGGGTGATGGCAGCGGAAATCGGCAGTGAAAGCCCTTCTCGGAGCAACCATTAGAAAATCATGGCCGAAAACTCTCACTACTTTGTGCCTATTAAAGTGGCATATTAAATTCCCTGTTTTCCGAATGGAAACTAATGAACCGAGCATTAGTTGTAACTTAGCATAGCTAAGGCCCCAGATTTAAGCTCCTCCGCCGCCCAACCATCCTGCTAATCCCTTTTCTTGGCGGGCGAATTCAATTTCCCCGAACTTGGCGTCCTTTTGTTCGCCGACTCACTGATAACCGCAATCTGGGTCTTAAGTCCATCTTAGCTGGGTGTCCTGTCCCATACTCACCATCGTAGCAGACCTCGGAGTGCGGTATGCACAGCGTCCTAACAAACTGGCAGCCTGCAAAGAAGCGGGTGGAAGAAGGTTTGGTTAGCATGGAGTACACGAAAGAGTTGTTTAGTCGCCATTATGAGCGGCTGAGTGGAAAGCGGGGCGCAGAGCAGTCTTTCAGTTGAGACATAATGATGTGGCAAGAGCCAAATCAGCATTACCACGCTAAGCAGGCTCCCGGCCCCCAGGAACCCCCATATCATCCCCATGCCCCATCGCTTCCCCCTTCCTGCTGCTGGTGTCATGTGTCGCTTGCTTGACTCTCGGCTAAATAAACGCCTTTTACGAGCTTGTCGCACATGGCCCACACACACAGCCATCCGCTCACGCACACGCCAACACACCAACACACTGACAGGAGCGACAGGCGAGGACAACTACAAATTCCTGGCCCGAATATATCCTCCTCTTGGCCGTTAGTCAAATGTCTTCTGTGTGACGTCAACGAGCACGCCCGCATCGTTCGGGAATTTGCCAGTGAAAAATGTTGCCTCCTCCGCCGTCCTCCTCCTGGTCATGTGCAGAGCACGTCCTCCACGTCCTGGGAGCTGCGCCCACGCCCAGAAACAAGCGGCGTCACTTTGGAACTTTGTTGTCAACAGTTTTCGTGGTCTTTGCCCAGCTTTAACTTCTGGCCTGCGACAGCCAAAAAGGCGACGACGCTTCGACATTTGTTGGCCATTAATTAAGCCAAAGTAATTTCATTTGGCTGCCACAAGCTCCGCTTGCCCAATGCCGCATTTCTGGCTGTTTTGTTTTTAATTGCTGAATAATTGCAGCAGGAGCAATACGGGCAGCATATATTAATCTCGCCCTTCTGTGGGTCCATGTAATTAAGATGCTCCAAGCCTCACAGATGAATCCATCAGTCAGTCGGAAACAGTAGCCCGGATCACTTCACTTTTCCCACTTTAAATTCAAACTGCTCCACGTAAAGCTGGAATTTATTGTGGCAAACTAAGCACTTCTATCTCGAGTCATCATGGCAAGGCGATTAGAAACTGCACCAAGTCCTCCGACACTTTTCGCCAAGTACCTGCTATCCCAGTCGAGCTATAAAGTTCCTAATGACTCTTTGCTCAAGTGCGATAAACTTGATTTTTATTCTCTGTGTAGGTCGGTCGAGCGGCTACATTGTTTGGCCATATGGAGTCCTGGCCATCCTTCTGCATCGTCGAGTCCACAGACTGAAGTGCACTCCGCATCCAGAGCCAAGGACCAAAAGCGCCCACTTGACTCCTTTGCAGGGCGAAGGTCCTGGGCCGCTGGGACAACAGTCAATAAATGTGGCGACACAGGCCGTCCGTCTATTTGTCCATTTGTCTATTTGTCAATAGGCCAACAGAGACGTGACCTGAATGGCGGACGGAAAGGCAATATTGAAAGCCCCGGCGCGAAAATAGAAACTAATTAAATGAGAGATGGTCGGCCATTTCGAAGCAAGTGAGCGGACTAATTGCTCCGCCTGGTCTGCGTTGAAAACTTGAAGCGACCAATCGACCCAAGGGATCCACACTCGCACACTCATAAATTCGCAAACTCATGGTCGCTGTCCAGGTGTATTGTTTTCCCATTAGCTGCCATGCCTTTCCATTTTCCACCCACTGATAAGCCCACGCGGCGAATGCGCCGCTTCCATGGGCCATTTTAACGCCATGCAAATGCGTCCTGGCCATAAAAGCAAGAGGCATCCTGCGTAGCCAGGGGCTTAAAGCTTTTACGGCAACAAAATCCCCAGCGGACTGCAACTATCTGCCCGTCATGCTCTTCGCTGTCCGCCGTGATGGTGATGCAACTATTATTTATGGCCAGTTCGATTTCCAGCCGCAGGGGCAGGAGGACTATGGGTTGGGATGACAATGGGAGTGGCAATGGGAGTGGGAGTGAAAGGCCAAGACCTGGAGCGCAGGGAGGAAGCGGATTGCCAATCAACAAATCAAAATCTGGGACGTCGATGGGGTGCAATCGTCCTGCCAGCGTTTTGTGCTGGCCCTGAATTGATTGATAAGTCCGCCACTTGATTGCTGGCTCCCAGTAGGGAAATCTTGGCCAGCCCAAATTGCACCACAGGCCCACGTTTGTTGCTGGGCAAACACTGGAGACGCAACAATTTAATAAATGCGCCGCCCCCGGGCGAAATTGAAAATTCCGAGCGCATGCCCCTTCTTCTTGCTGCGGTTGCTGTGGCAGCCGCCTCAACAGGATGCCCATCACCACCACTCCCAATCCCCCCTCGTTTTGATTGATGTCCAACGGCACACCGCACATAGTTAGGGAAGCTCCTTCGGAATTTTCCGCCTGGCCAGGGCTGTTTACTTACGAGACTCGCCTGGCGCCTCGGCGAGCTACCCAGGTCCTGTTTGCTTTTGGGTCAGGCCATTTAAAAAGAGAGATTTTCATTTCATAACGACATTTTTCCATTTTTCCACTTTTCCCCCTGTCATCTGGTACACATACTCACGAACAGGACACGTGTGTCCCGGACAACGTGTGGCATGTGTAATATGCGGAGGCGAGCGCTGGGAGCCCCGGCGACGTCTTTAATGACAATAACGAATGTCCGCACTCTGATTACGTGCCGCACTTGCCCCAAGCCGAAGCAGCAAAAAACATTTCATGGGGCACTCAAAAGTGGTGCTATCAGGACCTTCTAGAGCTTTTACGCACGGAATACGGGGCAAAAGGTACAACAAAGCTGAAGTTTTGGTAAAAGAATGAATAAATAGTCGCGAATGAGCTCTGCATTTGGCACAATGTAACACATGTAAAATATAATGGAGTTTGAAAGAATGCAAGGATTTGAGTTTTGGATAGAGACATTACTGCTCTATGCACAAAGGAGCATTTATCTTCACCAAGCAGCAAAGCTGATTAAAATCGTAAGCGCCCAGGACACAAAAGGGCCGTAAAATTGAGCCTTGCACAAAAGTTGCCTTGGTGTTTGCCTTCATATATTACATATTACCAATTACTACACACAAGGCTTAATAATTTCCAATGCCCTGCGACTTGAAATTGATGTAGTCTCAAAGGATTAAGTGCTCGCCGAAATGCCAGTTGAAATGCTCTGCCTGGCAGAGTAACCGAAAGCTAACTGGTGCTTGAAACACAATTACAATTACAAGGATGTTGCTGGCCATAAAAACACGAAAACAAGGCGCATTTCCCCTTGGCCGCGTGAAGGGAAGAGACGCCTTAAAGTCGCCCCGCGGCCACAATACTTTATGCTTTGCGTTGACAGGACGTGTCAATGCTGGGCGAACAATGCTGGGAACAACTGTCAGGGAGGCAGGCGCACAAAGAAAATAAATAATAACAAAGGACATTAATCATGACAACGACAAGGCAAAGGACTTCCCCTGCCTCGCAGGAGCACGGGATGGGGACTGGTTGGCAGGGTGGCAGGGTGGCAGTGCCAATGGCAAAGCAAACATGATGCAAGTGTTCCACACAGCTCGTTAAAGGGCAGCATAACAAGCACACACACACACACTCGCACACACACACACTCGCAGCGCACAGGACCTGCTTATGCATTAAAGTCCTGCTCCCGCCTACTTGACTTGCTAAGCGTTTAATGCCATCGCACACATGCGCCACTCGCGCCGCGCCGCGCCAAGCAAACAGAATAGCAAACAAATGAAAGGCACGGCGGATGCACTGCCTCCACGGCTTTCCCGCTTGCCGCGGCTCAGCTGCAGCTGGAAAGTTGTCGCTGCCTTGGAGCTTTATTAAGTGTAAATAAGCGGCGCATTTCACAGCAGCTTCGGGTGCTGCAGCCGCATTCCTTTGAGTGGGGCATTCCACCGCAGCAAAAAAGCAAAAGAAGCACTAAGCTGGTCACTCAGCGCACTGGTGCAAGGTGTTTTACCGCAGCTGCTAAAAAATAAATAGCTTAGAAGGGTTTAAAGTTTAAAGATTGAGTTGCAAAATGCCGAGACGAGTCAGTACTTTCAGAGAGCAGATTTGTCCTTTGTGCTAAGACTTTTGACTCACAATTGCAGCTTATTACTTTTGAATGAGTGTGCGGATTTGAAAGGATTCCAGCTGGAATTTCTTTCGGTGCTTTCCCCTCCCACATGTTGCTGCCACAAAGCTGTTTTTCATTTTCTCCCCGACGCCGGCGGCTTCTTGATTTATGCGAACTCATTTTATTCATAAATTTTAAACACGTTTGACGTCGTTGGGCTGGGGCTATGGAAATCGGGCGCTTTTCCCCCCGGTATGCCAACTGTCTCTGGCTTTTCCTGGCAGCGGGTCCTTGATTTATCTGGCCACATTTCTAAACAAATATTCCAGGTCCTTCCGGGCGAGCGACGCCAGTGACCCAAGCAAATTTGGCGCCTTGGTTTGTATTTTTTGCGACGTCCAGCATAGCAAACGCTTCCTAGGGTAGCCACTCTGACCTCCTCCATTTCGTCATCCCAGGTCCTGGCAGTAATAAATTGAGTGCCACTTCTGACCAGGCCGAGACCAGTAGACAGGCAAAATAAAGTGCTTGAGCGGCATGCAGCTCAAATTCTGCTCTGCGGGGCTGGGAAAATGTTTATTTGCTTTCGGTTCATCAAACAAGGACTGCTCGATGTCAACACTGTGCAAATATGTGTCGAGTACCTGTCCGAAAACTGTTTGCTTTTCCCATAAGCAAGCTGTCTGTGACTCTGAGACGCATTTGAAATATAACCATCCAAATATCCAAATACTGCCAGGAATTGGGACGCTCAAGTGGACATTTTCGGAGGCGCCTCGAAGTATGCAACGAAAAGTGACTGTCCGGGCTTGAAGTTTAAGGATAGTCAATACGAGTGTTTTCGGTTGAAGGGCGAGAAAGATACATGTGGCAAGCAGATAAGAAGCCTGAAAGCTTGAGGGCTAATAAATTCCATGGCTGGAGCAATTAATGCTTTTAAACAAGTTCTCTCTGATTCAGAAAGTTGTCTAAGCTCACAAACACTGCTGCTTTTCTCGTTCATTATTCGCTGTCAGTGCGAATGACAAATTCCCAATGAAATTCCTAACAAACTCGCTTGTCTCATTTGCATGGTCAACTTTAAATTACAGCAGAAGAGGCGAGGGATGAGCCGGAAAAGCGGTTTCAATTTAAAGTGGAAAACTCGAGGCAGTGGCAGCGCTTTCAGCTTCATCTTTGCATGCCAAACATGATTTTTGCCTGGCAAACAGGATCCGTACATCAATTTGTCATTTCATTCATGAAGTCCTTTGAGTCTGCTGCACTTTGTGGACGATTTATTAGAAATTCCCTTTCCAAAGTGACCTGAAAGGACCTGCAGTCTGCCCTTGCCAAGCCGAAATGGGACTATCGCGGTTTGGTCCTCAATCGACAACGCATTTGGACTGGGATTGAAATTGAAATTTCAAATACGATGACTGATTGCTGGCCTCCGGCATACAGGCCAGGTTGATGGGCATCCTGTGCCATCCGGTGCCTCGCATCCTGCGGCCCACTGCTCGTTGCAAGTCAGCAAATGCATTTGGGGCAAGCCCCCGAAGGCAACTGCCCACACTTTGCGTGGATTTATGCCAGGTTTGCTGGCTCCCACCGAACCAAAAAGATACTCGAATTTATAATGCAATGCATCTATCGCAACGCCAACAATCAGTTGATTTAGCCGATGTACGATGCGTTGCAATTGATTTAATTAAATGCAAACAAGTTTGCGCTCCAATGGATTTAATGTGCAATTACTTTTCCAATTTGCCATAAAAGAATACACACAAATCTTGATTGCTTATTACGGGGGCCCATTTTTCACCATTTTCCGGGCGACGTGACGTGCCCTTCATTTTGCCCACTTTTCACGGCCCTTGTTCTTTCTCGCTTCTTTGGTTTTCATTAATGTTTAGGCAGCTTTTAATTTGCGCTCATTAATGGGCAGGGGAAAATCGAAGAAAGGAGCGGCTGATGGCACCGGGAACTCGCTTATGAATTTCATTAATTTGCGCAGTGTTGCCCCGCCACTGCGGCTGTTTTTCTGTTGCACGGTGGGGCATGAAAAATTCATTAGATGTTTTGCATAAATTACGGCCGCCCAAAGTTCAACCCAGATAGGCAAGGCCTCTAAAAACAACTGCAAATTATTCCGCAAACTTTCGCCCAAAACATTTGGCTGACAAAATCGACCAATTTATCGCCGAAGTGAAAGCAAACTTAGGTCAAATATCTGACGCCCCAAAAGTTTCCACCTAACAAGCCCCCAGCGACCAATTAAAGTTGTTCCGAAAATGTCAATTTCAGTACGACCTACTTTTTCCAGCTTATTAATTTAAAATGGGGAGTTGCACAACTACAAAGTACTACAAAATTATGTAAATAAAACCATATGAAGAAACCTCCTGCTCCCGACTAAACCTCATTCACATCTACTTGGCTTTTCCCGACTGCGGAGCAGCACTTTTGCGACTTGGAGGAGCAACCATGCCACCAGCCATAGTCAGTCGCCGCTGGATGCGGGACGCAGGCTGGGCAGGGGATTTGGGTGGAGGCACAAAGGCCACGAGCCGCGATAGTTCAGGCTCGTCTCTGGAGATTTGCGTTTTCCGATTCTTAGGACCCTCATCTCCTGGGGATGAACCCTCCTCGACGTCGCTGAGTTCCGATTCCGACTCTTCGCTGCTCTCCTTTGTTTGCTCGTCGGAATCGGTACAGGAATCCTCCTCGAAATCGGAATCAAAGTCGGAATCGGAATCTGAGTCGGAATCTGAATCTGAATCGGAATCACTTTCATGTTCTCCATCGCTTGCATCACTGCCAGCGACTTTGGCATTCAGATACTCCTGCACTAGTTTGCGCTGCTCCTTCATCGACATGCTGAGCTGTTTGGACTTGTCGAACACCTGGCTGACCAAATCCTCCAGGGATGCAGGACTCAGATCCTTGGCCTTCTTGCTAGTCATCTTTGAATTCTACAGCTGCTTAGAACTAGATTTAGATTGTTTCACTTAGAATTTTGTGTGCACGGAGAATTTTTGTTAGTTTTCAAAAACCAGTTTCGTATCGCTCGAGTGGCAGGGAAGTAATGGGTTTGATCTTTATACAAATTTTAGCTTGTCTAGCAGCTGCCTGCTGTGATTATATGTTAGATACCCCTCTGTAAAACTGGTATAACTTTCTGAATAGTGTATTCCAGTAAAGCCATTAATGAAGAAATATTTGATTTTTGACCGTAATTTGTTTGGCCCACCAGCTAAATCAATTACGGCGGCGCCACAAAGTGCGCCACCAGGTGGGGCAATTTAATTGCGCGGTCTCCGGGAGATAAATCAAATCATTAGTTCAGAGGTCACTGAGTGGGCGGTGAAGTGGGGACCTGGCGAAGTCAAAGGGCGGGTGTGTTAATGCCAAATTAGAGACGCCCAATGGAGCGTGATTGCAGCAGGCCAAACATCGCAATGGGAACACATAAATACACATTATCCGGGGGTTGGGGGGCAAAACGCTTGTTTGCCTATGCGTGGCGCATAAAAATCCAGTTCTTATTAAATTTCCGCACGCCTGCACATGTCCTGCTCCTGACTCCCCGATCTCGGGGTGGAATATCCCATCCCATATCATCCCAAACAATCCCATCCTAGACTGGCAATTGGGAGCAGCTGTTGGCTTGCTCCCTGGCATTGGGCTCAATGAATTTTGCATGTTTTTGTCGGCCCATCCAGCCACGCATGTTTTTTATCCCAACACTTGCCGCAGGCGGAGCAGCACTTCCACGACTTCGGTTTCCCATTTGCTGGCCCCTGGGAGGAGGCACTTCTTTGTTACACCTCCAAGGGGGAGGAAGAGGGCGAGGGCGGAGTAAACAATATTAACATTATATTAACATTTATTTGCGTTCGCCAAAGGTTTCCCTGTTTGGCCCGCCTTGTGGCAAATAAATACATTTACATACATTACGCAGCACACGAGGGCTTTCCGTAGTTTTCCCCACTCTCCCTAGTTGCCATTAAAACACACTAATAGTACGCTGCCAAGGGCGAGCTGTGCCTTTGAAAAGGCACAAAAATGGGTTTGCGTTTGCGAGCCCCAAATATAGGAACTTCAAAAGCCAAGCCAAAACAAAGTGCCAACAAAGTAATTGCAGGGATTTGCCTTGCGGCCACCTCCAATGGGGGGAGGGGTTTTGCCTAGACCGTTTCCCATTTTCCATTTCCCATTTTCCTGCCATATATGTTTGTGCGCCAGAGAGGCGGTTTCCGCGGCGCTGGGATGAGGAAGTGGCAACCAGTTGCCGCGCCATTTTCTCGTTTTGTTCGGCCGCTTTCTTTTTTTTGAATATGCCAAAATGTGTAACTGTAACTGGTGTGCACGGGCTGTCCTTTGAGCAATTTTACGCATATTTGCACTTAAATATTACATCTCCTGGCATGCGAACGAGTATATGTGACTGGGTCGAGCCGTAACGCGCGATATTTACGATGGCACGTTAATTTTTATGACATTTCCTCGCCACTCGCAACTGGCAGCCCGGATGCCCCTCAAAGTGGCGGCCAGACAGCGATTCCGATGCGCATTATGCCGGGTTTACGAACGGATATGTATCTCGAAGGGCCCAGCGACACGGGCTAATAAACCTATTAAGTTGGGTGATAAATGCCTGAGAGCAGCCTTAAAAACCTGTACATTTTACTCGTATGACCATTAAATATTTTGTGGTCCTTGATTAAGGAGCACATGTGCCCAAGTTATGATCGATTTGCAGATCCTAAGCCCATGAATTCGGATTCATCCTAGCTGAATTTAAATGCCTGCCTTGAATTCCTCGGCTTTCAGAGGATCTGCTGAGCAGCAATTCTATTGCCATCCTTTGTTTCATAGCACACTTACATGCCTGCATGCAAACGATGATTGCGGTTATTATTCATTAGCCGCCTTTGTCAGTTTCCATCTGGAGTTTCCCAGGCTGCTCTTGATTATCTGCGATTTTTCCTGCCAATTGGGTAGAGTGGCAGAGACGGAGGAGTGTCTGCCACGCTTCATTGGCCATTCAATATCTTTTTTCCGCTCCATTGCTGGTCTCCTGGCCTGACCTCCTGGCCTGACCTCCGACCCCCTGATTGTGTGTCCAGGTGGGCGGCATCTTGAGAAGGCGTAAGGGGCGTAACCGTGGCGGCCATGCCCGGACGACGTGTGTGTGTGTGCCCATTGTTTCGTTTTATCTCTTAATTACATCTCCATCTGGCCATTGAAAGCCTTCGGCTCGGAAAGTTTAATTAACTCGGCAGTGCTCTTGTTGGCCAGTTTGAGTGGCGAGTGTGTCAGTTGCCAGTATCGAACCGATACTAAGCGCAGTTTTGTGTGCCTCATAATTGAATGGCCACTAAAATCGGCTAAATATGACAGAGTCGAGTGCGCAGGCCTTGGCCGCAAATTCATTAGTTTCAGGAATGTTCCGAGAGTGCAACAGATAAGGCTATCAAACGTGCCACATGATGTTGCGGCCACAAAAGACATATTATTTCTGCGGCTTGCCACTTGCGAAATAATCAATAAATTGGGTTTCCATTTGCATCATTCAACTGCAATGCTGCAAACTTGCTTTCTATTTTTCGGGAAAGTTCTGCACTTATTGAATTTCACTTCATTTTCAATAAGGACGCGTCTCGCATCTTGCGTAACTAAGCAAATAGCTTTATTTGCATGGAATAGTAATGAAATCATGGATCCAACCAACTTGGTTATTCTGAAAATATTTAAGCCACGCTTGGAGCAGGCATTTCACTTTCAATTTCTGACCAATTTTCAGCCAATTCATAGGCAAATCCCTCGCAACTAACTGCTTTCCACTTAGCACAACTTAATCCCCTGAACGGAAACTCAAACTGAAAACTGGGATAAGCGCCTGCAGTCCTGCGAGGACAATGGCAACTGAGGGGAGGGTGCCCCCCTCGTGTGGCACACACTATGTACGCCGCATGGTGCACGGTGCATGGTGCAAAGTGCGTTGTGAGCCTGTCGGCAGTAATTGCGGCGCTTAGAAGGACGGACATTCAGGGATTAGCTGCAGATGCAACTGCGTTTTCAGCGGCATTTTCCAGCGCTTTCTGCTGCCCTCCAATGTTTCCCTCCATTTCCCCCCAAATTGAGCGTGCCAGCTTTTAAAAACTTGTGCATCCTCCGAGGCGCAAGGATATCTCCTCCAGAGAGCGCCTTTCTTCGACTCGAGGCATTCCTTTCGCTTCACTGTACACTGATACTCGCACTCGTACTCGATTATGTCGGCAATATGTTTACGTTAACAAAGCCCCACCCCGAGAATATCCTTGCAGCAGACAGCAATTTGTTCCAAATGACTTGGCGAGGCGCAAATTAAGTGCATTTTCATTAGTTGCAAGTTGTTTGCCATTTGAGAAATTAAATTGCCGTTGCAGAGTCAAGGAGTTGCAATCGGAGGCGCCCCAACTGCTCCACAGCAATTATTTTTCCAGCTCGCTCTCGCGTTCGCCCGAAGGGGAACCATCCAACTATCCACTGGACAGCTCCAGCCCCAGCATCGTCATCATCACCGTAATCATCATCATCGGAAGCACTGGACGCAGCCAGCCAACCTTTATGAATTTCGCCCATGTGCAAAGTTATTTGGCAGCAAAAAACAGGACCAGGCGAACCTTGCTCCACTTTAAGCTGGAAGGGATATACAAATGCTTTCTGGGATGGGTATGAAGGCGGATTTTTCGGTTTGAACCGAGGGGGCAGAATGCATGAGCACTCCCACCTGTCGGACCTGTCGGAAAAGTCCACAGTCATGTTTTTGTTTCATAGACTGCGGGCCAGCAGCTTTCAGCAAGAAAAATTGCTCGAAAAGCAGAAAGGTGAGAAGCAAGCGTCAATGTTGAATTTAAGACCAGGCTTAAAGTTTAGAAGCTGCCCCATCAATTTCCAGCCCGATAATTCCTCGTTCAGGGGATAGAAAATGCAATTTGCACGGCTCTTCTCAAATTGCTGCACTAATTCAATGCAGGAAAAATCGAACTTACAGCCGGGATTACCGCCAGCCAAATACTGTGTGCTATATGTGCTATATAGCGCCGAAATCGACGAATATATAACTCCGAACAATTGCGGTTCGTGTGGCAGATCAACCGCAGAGCATGATGTAAAGCGGCAGCCAGAGGTCCACCGCATTCCATTTGGCCGAAAATAGAATTTAAACGAGTCAACGTGGCGTATACGCAATGTGAAGCCAGTCTGTTGCAGGTTCTACATGGAAATTGCATTAGCAGTGCATTTGTTTGAAAAGTTTCTATGAAGCGGCGGCCAGCTAATTAATAATGCATTCGCAACTGATTTGAAAATGTGAAAATGCGCGAAATGCGCGAATGTAAAATCCAATTTCGATGCAATGCAAAAAGGGGCAAGTTGGCCTGGATTTGGCTCCGCTTTCTGCGCGCAGATTGAACTGCATTTCATTAGCTGCAGAGAATGACGAGCAGATATGAAAACTATCTGGCGCTGCAGAAAGCTCTTCGCAAGGAGTGCAAATATTTGTTTTTCAAATGAAATGAATAAATGCAGAAAAGTTGCCGCCTCCACCGCCGTTTGTTGCCAGTTAAATGAAGTTGTTTTTGCCAGTCTGCCGTTTGCCTGCTCCGCTGCCTGGCTGGCTAAGGTCAATGTGTTAGACACTGTTGCATGCAACAGGGAGTCCTCGAGGGGCAGGCGACATGTGCGAGTGCCCCAGCTACTCCCGTTGCAGGAGGAGGAGCAGCTGCTGTTAATTAAATTTTATTGTGCAGCCATCAAAAGTTGCACGCCACAAGGGGAGCGGTGGAGTGGCAGGGCCACCGTGAAATATGGCTGCAAGGAGCAGCAGGAGCAGCAGGAGCTAATGATGATGTTGCTCGTTGCCAGTTGCTAATTTATACACACCCCAGATTCCCGACACGGCCGCCAACAATGTGGAGGAGCAGTCAGCTGCACAGCCAGGACATTTATCTGTTTGTGTATCTATGTGCATGCATGTATGTTGGACACGGGTGTGTACACATGTGCACCTGCAGCAGCAGCAGCAGCAGCAGCAGCAGCAGCAGCAATCAATAAATCCCAGGACCCAGCCCAGATCCTGTTGATTCTTGCGCAATGCCGTGCATAAATGCATGGGCGGAGCTCCTGGTTAACTTTGCATGTGGGCTGGCGTGGATGCAACGCCAGGAGCTGCAAATTTGCATGCCCCACACAGCAGCAACTAGTTGTCATGGCAACAGTGGCAGCAGCAGCAGCGGCAGCCGAGATGCTCGACAGGATACGAGCTGTGAGTCCTGCAGCCACACTATCCAGGGAGGCTGATGCCTCCACTTGGCGAGGCCATGAATGCGAAAGGAACTGGGGGAGCTGCAAAATAGTTGGCTCAAAGCAGGAGCTAAGTTTCGGAAAACGAAACTGACAGCTTGTGGTGGATAATTTGTGCTTGGCTGCTATCGTTATGGGAATTAAGTTCTCTCCAATGCCAGCGGGATTGGCTAAATGGAAAGCATAACGTCAATCAGATTAAGACAGCAAATCCCGGCAAGGAAGCTGCGTTTATGGGTTTATTTTAATAAACTAGCAGTGGCAGTAAACAAATGCTGTGCAAATATGCATGTTGAAATAGAAAATAAATGCATTTTGAATATTCATAAGCCATAATTGTGTGTTTGATCGAATGTGCGAATACGTACTGAATGTTTCATGGGCAACGAAAGCCAGTGGGGTGTGAACCAAGTGCCACTTTTATAGGCAAGTGATTTCTAACCATCAATAAATATGCACTATTTGCAGCAAAACTATACCCAATGGCACGGAGCCAGCAGTTCCGGGCCCAAAATCAGTGCCAGTGAGTGCGACAACCAAGAATCCACTCTAGTGGTGGTATCACCTCCACCCGTAAGTGGCCCAAACGATGTTGCCAGCACTTGGAGGCCTGTTGCACATGCCAGTTGGCCAGCTCTGCGTCGGTTCCGGCCATGGAGCGCATTTCCTGGCCTGCTTTATAACGGCAGCAACAGCAGTTGGCCAATTGGATTATGCGTGGTGCGGGCTAAACTAGTTAAAAACATATTTGCACAGCCACTTTGCACCAGGACCTGCCGACATGGACATGGGCCATCTTGTCGTCCGGGGAGCGGGCTAAATGCCATGTTGTGCTGCTGCTGCGTGTGCGGTTCCGTGCGCCAAAGTTTTAATTAAACGGGTTTATGTTTTGGCCGCAGCGCACAAAAAGTTAACACACGATGCGAGTTCAGTCCTATGGGAGATCGGGGACAACAGGGACTAATTGCGTTTGTGCCGCCGCTCATCGACTCCTCTGTTGCTGGTAAATTAGATTATGGGATGACTGCAGCAAAATAACTGCAAAACTCATCAATTCGCGACTGCATCACCTGCTTTCCACTTGCCACGTTAGATACATATCTTAGTTCGAAGGGGACACTCACCAACATTGCCCTCCGCTTGAGCAAGATCTCCATGCGTGGCGAGCAGCAGAATCAGCAGGAAGACTCCGAATTGCACTAGCTTGGCCGGACGACTCAGCGCGTCCAGGCTGCAGCAGAGCAGACCGCCGCCCCCCGCCCCGCAGCCACGCACCTCGCGCCGGCGGGCGCCCTCGCTGATCAGCAGACGACCGCGGGCGGGCAGCGTCGGCGGCACCTTGCGCTGGTGGTGCAGTAGCTCGTGCTGGCGCGGACTTCGGTGGTGATGCACTGGCTCCGGCGGCGCCGAGTGGTGCTGCTCCGGATCCTGGTCCTCCTGCCGATGCTGTTGCTGGTCGATGGGTTCTCGCTGCTGACTAGACCAGGACTGCTGGCACTCCCCGCTCGCCGACTCCTGCTGCCCGGCTGCTCCGCGTGCTCTCTGGTGCTTCGGCTCTTCAGTTGTGGTGCATGGATGGTGCTGCCGTTGTTGTACATTGCTTGCCATGATAATCGGCACACCTGCAAGGGAAACCAATCAATTAGCACTCAAGGTACAATAAGAGTTGTTTACTTTTAATCTAAAATTACTATGTTAATTCAAGTATTTTGAGCCCCAAGGCCAGCTTCAATCCCATAAACACTGCTTCCATTTTCAATTAGTTTTTAGGGACATAAAAGCTATCCCCCAGCTCGTAAATCCCCATACAAATGTATGCAGGAATTTGCACTAATGACCTGGTGCTGCTCCGCAAAGTGGGGGCTGCTCCAAAGTACAGCCCCCTGATTCGGGCGCTCCTTATTGTTGTTACCGGAAATTAGCAATGTATATTCGGCGGCGCTGCCTCAGCTGCCTCTTCGGGGAAATTGCATTTTATTGTGCCAGGGACAACTTTTCGCTTTTCCGGCATTTCCATATTTCATATTTTCACACAATGCGCACAAAGGCGAACCTTGGAGGAGCTGGCGGGGCGGCGATTCCGGGTGAAGTGGGGCTGGCAGGAATCTCTGCTGGCTGGGCACATTTGTCGCGCTGCAGTTTCCGGGTTTTTAGTTGCTCCCTCTTTGTGCGGGCTCGGTGTGGCCTCCGGTGATCCTTGCTCCGGCTGCCGAATGCTTAGCGAGTATTTCTTGCTCTTTATATGGTAATAAATGTCAGACTTCGCTTAGCCCTTGGCAGTCGGCAGGGGAAATTGATTTTCCTTGCCGCTCCAGCGGCTCCAATGTGATGGGCAGGTGGTTGGGGCTCGGGGATTCTTGGTTCTGGATATCGTCTGGGTCATTTGGCGATAAGCGCGTCAGCCTCGCTTAAGGCTGACATATTTTGAAAGAGGATGACGGCAGAGTTTACTTCCTTCTGAATAGGATTCCAGCTCAGCAGCAGCAGCAGCAGCTCAAAGATGTGGCATTCCGGATTGGGCCCCGAACAAAGAAATGTCAAATTATCCAGCGAACTAGGTACCAAATGAAACGACCTTGTCAACAGCAAGCCAATTGGGTTCCTACTTTATTGGCAGTGCCACTGAAGTCCGTAGTGCTGCCACAGCACGCTGCATCAAAGATTATATCCACAATTCGGTTGCCTCGTCAAGATGTAAGAACTTTGTACTGTTCGAAACTAATTTGCAGACTCACTAAAAACAGCGGTAGCAAGCACAAGCTACTTTTCATAAATAGTTGCCCGAGTAAAGTTTGCTGACTCACTGACAACAATAGAATTAAGCCAAAGAGGCATCAATCAGCGATGAAATTCATTAGCAGGAAAGGGGACCCTTCAGCAGACACAATATAAATGTCTTGGCCAAGATCTCAATTACGGAAACATCGTTGGTTATAACATGTCTGCGACATGGTAATATGATTTCAATCATTTCTCGAAGCTGGCATGATTAATGCGTTACAGATTTCTGGCCCCGGAAAGCAGCTTCTTGGGGACCTCCTCGCCTTGGAGGAGAATGAAGACCCTGGCCTGGTGGGCCTCAGAATTGGGTTCATTTTTCATGCACGGCCCGTGGCAGCAGAAACTAAACTTCGAGGCTAAGACTAAGCCCCAATAAGTTGGATGGGTCCAGATGACACCACAGCATATGGGGCGGATAATTAATCATGGGACGAACGTGCCGGGACGGCCAAAAACTTTTCAGCCCTTCTCCTCGCCTCCAAGCTCCAAGTCCGGGCCAAACTCAACTTAACCGAGGCACACTGAATCGAATCGACCGAGAAGTTCAGAGCCAGGCTCTTTATGAAGCCAATGCTGGCCAGAGGGAATATCTGATTAGTTGGCCTCTCGAATTTAATTATGGTGACAGGGCAGACTTTGCGGCAGCCGGATGCATCCTCGGTCTCCTGCCCTCCACTTCCTTCTCCTCCTCCGCTGCTGCTTCACTCGCCACTCCGGAATAATTTATGCAACTCAATTAGGCGTTGACCCCATGATAAAGTTTAATAATTGCAGGTGGTGGCCGCCCTTTTCGCTCGCACTTTAATTAAAAGAACCGAGCAATTAAAAACGCATCATCAGACTGAGCGCGGCGACTGGCGGAAAAAATGCACTACATATTCCCGACTACCGCATACCTCTTATTTCACTCAAGGTATTGCAAACAGGAGAGGTCTCAGTGAAGGTGAAGTACATTTTTTCCGCTTCGAAATTGTATTAACATAATATAAGTACACAAAATTCTTCTTACATGCTTCACTCGGACTGTGATGTAATGTAATTTCCGGCGCCTTTTTAATGCAGCAACAGAGTGTTCCATCCTCACCACAGGACACGAAACGGATGAACCACCTGATCTGGGCAAATCGGATGCCGGAAAGCCGCAGGCGGAACCGCATGTGTAACCGCGTTTGCTCCACCGCGTCGTGTTTGTGGGGCTGCTCCGCTTTGGAGGCAAACAAACCGCGACCACGACGGGGATTAAGCGGAGGAAGCGGCTTCAGATGGGTCCTTGGGCATCATCTTGCGTTCGACTTTCCAGGAAAAACCGCTGCGCTTTCCATTTCCGCGCCACTTTTCAATCGGCTTTGTCAGCCAAAAATATTCCTGCCACTGGCACGTCTGTGCCAAGGATTGATTTGCAATCATCAATTTCAATTGAATTTGCGTGCGCTGCAGCGAAACTTTTATAGCCGTCAAGTAAAGTGCAAATTTCGAAGCTGGCATTCTCCTTTGAAAATACACCAATTTTTCAGAAAAGCGCTGCTAACTTCCAATCAGTTCACGGTTGCACTGGGGCATATCGATATCGATAGGTTAGGGCATGCTCGCACGTTCGAATTTCTGGGTGCGCAGTGCATTAACTTATAAACTTTCGCAAAGATGCAATTTACGTTATTTATTTGGCGTTGTAGGTGGAAAGGTGAAGCTTTAGACATAAAAACAATTTTCGAAATACTTTTCGAAATTTCGCTATACCAGCGTTTCAAACGTTCGAAGCAGCCTTTTTCGAAGATGTTATCCTTGCGTGTAGACAGCCCCAGCTGTCAATCGATTGGAAGTTTCACCTCTGGTATTTCCTGTCTCATCAGCAAAAAGCCGCGTCACGTGCGCCACCTGGAAATCTTCTGCCAACTTGTGCTCGCAAATCCCTCGGTTGTATTTTATTCCTCGAGATGGGTAAGAAACAGAAAATGAAGAAGGCTGCCCAGCTGGCGGCCGCCGCCGCGAAATTCCAGAAGGAGATGATCGCGAACGCGGTGGCCACCAAAGAGAAGTCCGTCGAAGAAGCCACTCCGGCACCATGTTGCAGTGGAAAGAAGGGGAAGCCCAAGGAAACGCATGGAGTGCAGAAGGAGCTCGCGATGCTGGAAGACGCCGTGGATGCCAAGAAGTCTCCTCCAGGCTTCAGTGGCGCAAAGAAGAAGCCCCAGGTCATGGGTCAAATGGACCCGGCCTACCGCAGCAAGATCAATAAGCTGTTGAACCTGGCCCAAAATCTGGCGCCCAATCTGTTCAATCTGCAAAATCCGCCGAAGGAGGAGCGCGCCTCCGCCGCGGACAGCATCGTAGATGCCGATGACCGGAGCACGGACTCCGATGACGCCCCGGATCTGGTGGAAGCGGATCGAAAGGCGGCCAAGCCGGACGATCTGGGCCAACTCGGTTCGCTGGGCACGCTGACCCTGCGATCCGGAGACGGACCAAGGCGTTCCCGGGGCGAGAAGAAGGCACGCCGAATTCTCATGAAGCTCGACCTAAAGCCCGTCGAGAACGTGACCCGAGTGACCATAAAGAAGAACAAGAACATCATGTTGTACATGGAACATCCGGACGTCTTCATAGTGGCGCACTCGCAGACGTACATCTTCTTCGGGGAGATCCGCGTGGAGGACACCAGCAGCTCGGCCACCGCCTCCCAGGCAGCCGCCAATGCGGCAAAGCGATTCCGTGGTCCCTCGCCTGTCGGAGGTCAGGCCCACAATTCGGATGTGAAAGCTCCTGGCGGCCAGTCGCTGCTCGACGAAGAGGACGAGGACGATGGCGACGACGTGAACCTGGACGACAAGGACTTGGACGTGAAGGACATCGAGCTGGTCCAGATGCAGGCCGCGTGCTCGCGCAAGAAGGCCGTCCAGGCGCTGCTGAAGAACGACAACGATGTGGTCAACGCCATCATGGCCCTAACTATGGGCTAAGTCGCTCTGGCTCCTTTTGATTGAAGTTCATGAAGTATGGGGAATTTCATTACATTCTTAGTTCGCTTGGTTTCCAAGCAAGAAAGCGTTTTTTGAAATAATTTCCATGTTCATTGTAATTAAATGGTTACATTCAAATCGTAAACTTTCATGTTTTATATAGTATATAATTTCCTGTAATCAGACATTTATTCCTTTTCCTATGAAATGTAACCTATTCGATTTCCGGAAGAAACGAAGACTTGTGTTCCAAGAATGGCAGCTTCCGGTGCCAATTTAATCCGCTCTTAAAAAGATGCGACATATTTCCTGTTTCTTGAAATTGAGTACGGTTCGAGGAACTGCTAGCGCATTTCAATTTTGTAATGAATAGACGATTTCCCGTTGCCAACTTGGCAGATTGAAAGCTTCTTGCGAAGGGCAAAAAACGCATTAAATTCGCGTATGCGAAGCCGAGCCATTTTCATTATATTTGCTCTGCCATCACAGCCAGCGCTAGACTTTGGCAATTTTCCTTTCAGGTGCCCTCATCCCTGGACATTTTCTCTGTGGCGGAAACCTAATCGCTTCTTTCTTTGTGCCGCTGACGCTGCACTCTTGTTTACTCTGCACTTAGTTTCAGCCATTTGGCAAGGTCCCTCGGCACTCGACTTTTGCGTTTTTTGCTGGCGAATTTTTGACGACGCTGTGATGGCGCTTCAGCCATTTCAGGCGGGGATTCCCAGGTGAGACAGGTGACGTGGCTAGGCAAGTCCTGCTTCACTTAAATGGCTCGACTCCCTAGCTTTTCTGGCCCCAAAAGCCACCTAATGAATAGCTCCGGCTCTAACTGAACTCTATTTAATTTTCAGCTTTCGTCAGCAGCTGTGAAGCAGTAAAAAAGGCTTTAGTTTTGCATTGTGGGCGCTCAGCAGGACGTATGGCTGGGCACGTGCCCGCTTTTCCGCCGGAAAAGTGGAAATGGAAACTTTGTAGGTGGGTGCGCCGCCTCCTTCGCTCTGTACACTCATGCTCTTGTAGTGCGAGTGGAAAGTGCCGCGCGTGTCGGCTTCGAATGGAAAGTTTTTGGGGCTTGGGCTCTATTCGCATTGCCTGGAACTTTCTCCGCCGGAAATTGATTAAGTTGGCTGCCTTTAATCAGCGGAATTGAAGATGCTGCCGAAATACAAATCAGTTGACAGTCGGCAGCCGTATTGCGCAATTTACTGCCCAATCCCAGTCCAAATGGTACTTTGAAGTACTTTCCACGTCGACAATTTCCACTCCTTGCTGACCGAATCCCAGAAAAAGCGGCAGCAACTTCGAAAGTTGTTAAATGCCCAATGACATCATTCGGTCTAGCACCTTCTTGAAATGAACTATTAGAATACAAAGTTAAATTTGCAATATACTCGTATATTAGGTAGCCATATACTTTTTGTATACCAATTAAATCGTCCTGTTCTAAGCCGTTGTATCCACTTGGTCTTAAGAATTTAACATATTTCCTTTTGTGTAGGCTCAAGGCTTTCTTTATCTGACTGCCACCTTGTGCTCCTGTTTTACAAGAATTTGCTTGGGCATGAAATGCTCGGGGTTTTCACTGGCTTTTCCTGGCCGCTTATAAACTTTCCCTTTTGGTTTTGCGGCCAACGTTTGGCCCACTGCCCGTTCGCTTGAGAAGTTTTCCTTTTCGTGGTTATTCATTCACTTTCAACTTGATTTGGGTTTCGCATTTCGGTGCGCATTTCTTGACCAAAATCTGCAGGATTTGCCTTCGCCGTCTTCCTGTGTCCTTCCGCCTGTCCGCATCCGCCATGTTAGCCATGCTAGCCTGCCGAAGGACTCGTTTGGGGGCCCCTCTGGCGCAGTTCATCACATTGGGCCGCATTTACTGCTGAGCTAATCATGACGCTTCAGGCTTCGGGCTCCATATTCATCTCCATTTCACTAGGATGGGGTAAGTCCCGCCCAGATCCCCCGACTTGGCTCGAAGTGTTGGCAAGCTTTTTGCCATTTGATTTGACGCCACTGTTTGCTTTAGCCTGGGCTAAGTGGGTTTGGCTTCAAGAGGCTGCCAGGTGTGTGCTCTTCGGGCTCCTTGGGGTTCTATTATTGTGAGTATCGAGCACCTGGGCGCCTAAAGTATCGAGCGAGTGGTGGAAAGCGACTTCCTGGCAGGTGATTTAAGGCTCGACAGGCTCACATTTCCCGCCTTTGTGTAATTGATGCACGGCAGCAGCTAAAGGATAACAAATCGCTTTCATCCTGAAGCCGCTTCCGGGCGAGCACAATGTGTACAATCCGCCGTCTGCAAATACGCAATCCATAATTCCTTTTTTGGCCAGCCCAGCGTGAAAGGGATTTCCGGCGCCTCTTCAGCGAAAAAGGACCTCTCCGTCCAGAAAGCCAAAAGCAATTAGATAAACTTGCCAGCTGGATTCGGCAGTTGAAAGTGGGCGTGGAAAATTGGGTGGAAAATGGCGGACCAGCTGGGAGTGGCAGGACAATTATGAGAGCGAAGGTTCGGATAATTCAGCAATTTGGTCGGGTTAGGGGAACCAGCGTGGAATTATTCTCCTAAGTGCCATGAATTATGACTTAGTTCTTAAGCGAATAAATTATTGCTACGTCCTCTGCTTTCTGCCGAATGGCTCAAACGTTTATACATTAGATTACTCAAATGATTAGAACTGGAATTTATTTCCAATTCCAGTGCTACTGCTCGATTGCCATCCGCAAAAAGTATCTTTTTCCCAAACGTGGACCAATCTCACTTAAATTGGCTCTTCTAAATTGAGTTTGTTTCCACATGTCTCACATGCATCTTTATTGTTTAAGCTGCTTTGTGGGGCTTATTTGTTGCAACCACCAAACCCGTTGTTTCCTTGCGTTTCAGGTGGCAGAGCATCAGATAAGATACAATCTCGGGACCTTCTTCTCCATGTGGGAAAACTGCTTTCCTTTGCCAAATTGTTTTACATTTCGAGCCGAAAAGTTTTGGCATTTTGCAGTTTACCTCCTGGCCCTTTGAGCACGGCAGCAATTATAAGCTGCCCAGGAATTTTCAAGGAATTCGATGGAGTGCAGAGTGCAAAGTGCAGAACTCGTTATGGAAAGCTTCTTATGTTGCAGGACGAAGCCCGGATTCTCCCCTGAAAACGCTCGCAGTTAATAAGCATTTCCGTTTGCTGGATTTTATGTGCCATATTTTATTCAGATTGCGCTTCACAAATGCAGCTGCTGAAAGGAGGGCAAAGGCCACGGATAATGAACGCCAGTCAGCTCAGGGTAGAGAATTTCCAGCGAACTGAACTGATAATGTTGTTAGAGTGCACACATACATGCATCATGAGTGTGGGCGAGTTGAGGGGGCTGGGAAATCAATTTCGGGGAAAACAAATTGCGCAGCTTGTACTGAAAGCTCGGCGAAAATAATACTGCTGCAGTTTCCGCCCGCAGGAGGTACACTTTTCACTTTTCCGACTGCCCGCTTATCTGCCCTTTTAGCGGGAAACTATCGTTAATGGGCAACTGATAGCAGCAGCTCCTCCACTCGCGATAAGTACTGCTTCATAATTGACTTCTTATCACGTTTCCCGACACCTGATACGTGAGCTCACTTCCCTTTCGCCGCGCCATTTCACAATAATTTGTGAAATAAAATGTGAAATGAAAGTGCGCAATCCGCATGGATTCATTTGCATTTCATAATTGAATTTATGTAACCCATATGCCTGTCTTCCCACGAATTTAATCACGCTGCATTGAGCTCGAGTGGATCGCCCACTTTTCGGATCAAATTACTTATTTTCTTGCTCGCTACCTGTCGGATTTACTCAAATGCATTTAACTGAAAGCCCACGACCTGCGCCATTTCAAGTAGTGTTTACTCGCTCAGCGAAAACAAAACGTCAATTTAATTGAGGTCCGCCATGTTGAAATATTGGATTGTGTCAGTTGCGAAAATCAAACATGGCGTACAGTTAATCTCGCTCACAGAGGAATTCCATTTCCCAAATAATTGGTGAAAGAGATGTGAGATGTATATGTTGATAAAAAAGTGAGTGTATTAACATGTGCAATTTATTTGGCAGTTTTATTTAATTAAACCCTGTAAACATTTAATAAAATGCTTTCATACCAGCATATATCTTGGAAAGCAACTTTAAATTGATCCCCAGTTCGAGTTCCACAAGCTGCTAAACTCGGCGCAACTTTCTTCATTATTTAAATATTTTAAGTGCTACACTTTTGTACAAGAAGTCATGTCAAGTACCAGTATGAATATCACGCCAGTTAGTGCCAGACCTGCATTTGGCCAGCGAGTGTGTGGTGCCTCCAAAGAGGCCCCAACCTCCTGGCCATGCCCATGCCCATGCCCATCCCCGAAAAACTCACCGCAGGAAGTGCCGACGGCTGGCATCGATGCTGGGTGCCATATGTTAGGCTTAGGCGCTTATCGCACCAGGAGCAGAACTGGGGCCACTGGCACTGGCACTCGTCCTCGGGCGCTGAAGTAGCTGGCGCAGAACACTGGCTGGGACTCCGCCGCCTACGTGAGGTAGGCGGGCGCCTTCTTATTTAACCGCTCAACACTTGGTTGCTCCGCTCCCCAGGTTGAACTGAACGGCGTCGGTGGATCCAGCCGTCCGTGGAGCACTGAGCATCAGGTAGCGCCCGAGCGGAGCCGACTGGGCCACCCGAAGCCGCTTTCCAGCTGCCTTCCAGCTGCCTGGGGAAGTGGCGGAAAGCTCGTCGGAGCTTTTGCTGTTGCTTCGCCAGCTGCTGCTTTTCCGATTTCCCGCCCTGCTTTTCCCGCTTTTCCGCCCTCCCACGGCAGCCCCTGTTGCTCCGCTGGCAGCGCGACGCCCACGCAAGGAGCTTTTCCGCGCCAGCCGCGATGAGCTTTTCCGAAGGCGGCGCCTACGTTTCAAGGAACTGGGGATGGCTCCTTCGGTCGCCAATCCTTCTGCCTCCCCTGGACGGCCTACAAGCTGGGCAGCCAAAAATAGCAACAGCGCGAAAGTTCCAAAGGCCTCTCCTGCCCGCCTGAGCACTACAGTGCAGTCTCGCTAGGATGAAGGCTCCTCTGGAGAGGAAAAGCCTGCTGCACATTTCGGAAAACCATTCATACACGTAGATGTGAAATTTGAAAAGAAGCTTCGTTTGGGAAGTAAATGAAACTCTTCCACTCTAGCGAACTTCCACTGTGCCTGCCGAATTTCCTTTCATTTTCCTTTGCCAGTGTGTGGGCTGCTTTCCACTTTCTACTTGCCGACTGCCAAGCAAAGAGCCAAGTCAGTTTCTGGAGCTCCGCTCACGACCAGCCGCAACTGCCCCGCGGAATTGTGTCGAAAATGTAATGGCTTGGGCTATTTTTAGCACTGGGTGTGGGTTTGGGGTAGCCAGGGTTGCCACTGCCACCATTGATTTTTCTCACTGTTTTTGGATTTCCCGCTCCCGCCCCCGCTGCCTGTTTTCCGGGCTTTTTCGGCTGTTGCCTGACGCAGCGCCTTTATGAATGAACTTGCCGCACATAAGCATTTGTTATAACTCCGGCCCGCAAAAAAGAAAGGGGCGTTGCACCCCCGGTGGGCGGGGGCATCAGGGGCAACCCTAATGTACGCGCTTTCAATGTCACCAAACTGCTGCAATCTCATCAAGTAAATGGATTGCCTTGTCGCAGACGACATAGTCGAGGTTCTGCAATAGAGACATTTGTCCATATGACGCCATTGTGTCCTGGCTGTATCTTGTATCTTGTATCTGGTAGCCTTAGCCTGATGTCATGGATTGGTACGTGTGTGTGTGCGTGTGCTCGGCAAGGATATTGTTTAACTGGGGCGCTCTGCTCAGCTGGCGCATGGAATTATGATTAATATTTGCTCAGTTTAAAATTAATTGCGTTCAGCGATTGCCCTGACAGCCGTTACCAACCCGAACGCCACTCTAATCTTGCCACTTTTTCAGCCATTTGTAATCCCATGGAGCAGAGTGCCTGAGGTCAGGTTATCGTGAAGCTAACTAGGACCTGGCTGCGATTGCACGGTGTTTCCGTGAATGATTACATGGGGCAAGGTCGGCCATCTAATTAAACAGCGTACGGTAATGTAGTTATATAAAAAGGTGGAGCTAATCTACGATTCCTTTGATGCTTCTCCCCAGGCGCAGATGGAGCTCGTTTGCAGTTAAAAGGGATATGTATAGATACCCGGTGCTGATATACTTTGTCGCATTACTTCATATAATTATGTACATAACTCACAAGGCTGATGGGGCTGGAATTCGATTATAAAGAGATGCTTATGTGGGCAAATTAAAGGAAACTTGTCCAGGATAGCCTTATGCTATTGTGACGCAATGTGGCTTAAAGTCACTTGAAATATATTCTTCTACCATACAGTATGCATTCATTCTGTACTTGCATCCCTAGGTAAAGTTTAATTTCTCGAAATCCCATGATTGTCAATATTGTGAAAGGTTCAGAGTCAATTTTAATTTTAAATATATCCCCCAGAGCCGCCTGCCAAAGGTAAGGGGAAAATTTAATATTCTGGGCCAAGTTAAAGCCAATTTAATTCACTTTCAGCCTCCATCAATCTTTGTTATGCCCACCGAAGGAAACTTGTTTGCTTATTTGTTCGGCGAGCCCAGCGTGAAAATATTTGTGCAATTGCTAGACTTTCTTTTAGGGGCCATCAAATATAATGTCGTATTCACGCATGTTTAACTGCCGCGACTTCTACCCATGGGAACTCGTATCTGTATCTCTGTTGGCTTAGCATTAAAACTAAAGTGCGTCGTAAGTTGTCCTTTCAGGATGGCCACCGAATTTCGGTTTCGCTGGCGGATGAGCGCGCTTTTATGTGAGCCGTTATGAATGCCCATTTCATACGCCGACTTGTTTATGTTTACGCGAAAATATTTTCGTTTCATTTTTAGTGCGGCTCCACAGCTGCCACGCCCCCGCTTCCGGTTGTTGACGCAGCCCTTAATCAAACAACGGGCTTTGTGCGACACTTGCGTATTGTCCAAGTCCGAGGTCCGATATCCAATGCCCGATGTCCAATGTCCCATGTCCCATGTCCATGGTGAGCCAGGGCTATATTTAACGCACTTGGCACTTGGCACTTGTGGCTCGTGGCCCCTGGACCACGACCTCATCCTCCATGTTTCTCCTTTTGCAGCTCGCGCTTGCCAGCGGCCATGTCAACGGCAACGGCAAAGGCAAGGCAACGCCATTCAATCAATCGCCACGAAGTCGACACAAAGCCCACGCCCAGCAGGGCCCCGTGCTTGATGAATGAGTCAGTGGATCCGGCGAGTCCTGTTCCAGTCCCAGGACGAGGGCCGTGGCAACGCGAGTCACATGTCCTGCCGCCTGAGGAGGACAACAACAAGTGGTGGCCGTGCACTGAATGGCCGAGCAAACAAAATCATAAAGGGATTGCACGGGGATCACAGGGTACAGCACATCGGTAGTGGGTCACCATATCTCCCAGCTTTTCGCTGGTCTGATTGTGGGTGTGAAATTACCATTCAAGCTTTGGTCCCAGGTAAACGAGGTGCCTCGAATTATAATTCAGTTGGCAAGATATGTGTATCTGCGGTCAAATATCTCATGCTCGCAATTGCCCAATTAGGTGAATTGAGTGGAGAAATGGCCGAAAATATGGTCATTTAATCTATTTGGCTGCTTGTATCAGATGCAGAGTATCAGCACTGAAATATCGCGTATACGTATTGGGCGAGAGAATAATACAATTTGTTTGTTGACGTAGCCCACGTAGAATCACTTAAGGACATTGCAATATTAATACGGCGTTCATTAGTTGGATTGCCCTATAAATCGATTGGCTGCTTGACGTTTTATCAATACGCCGAGCGGTTTCCTTAATGAAATATTTAGCGCGACCCCCACTAAGGAATTTCGCAATCAAGAAGCACGCGCCTTTAATTGCTTTCCGTTGCACTCCCGTTGCCTGCATTGCGGGGCAAGTTTAGCAGGTGGCAGGGGCAGGGCTAATGGGTGCACGCACCTGTTGCGAAAAGGTCACATCACTTAGCTGGCAACCCCACATCGCACTCTATATCAGCCACCAGCCCGACTATAAATGACTGTGACTTACCTCAGTTTGACATTTATGGCGTGGCTCATGTATTTGTTTACTTCATATTCAGCGCAAACGAACGAAGACATGCAAATTGATGTGCTGATGTGCGGTGATAATAGATCCAGATATTAGTGGTGTCCTTCCCGTGTCTGCCAAGTCCTGTGCCGCTCCCCAGTGGTTCTCCAGTTGCTGTCGCTTGTGCCGCTGCTCCTAGATCGTATAAATTTCGATTAATTTCGCCCGTGTGTACATAACGCGTACATATATGTGTGTTCTATGTGTATATAGTGGGTTTCGTTGGCAGCACTTCTTTTTGACGCAAACAACGTCAGCGACTGACGACAGCAGCCTGAAGCCGAAAGCCATTAACCAGAAGCCAGAAGCCAGGCGATTCGAAGACGCTGAAGAGAGTTTGGCCCAAAGAGAGCGAGCTTCCAAGAGCACCGGCTGTATTGTGGCTGTGTGGGTGTATGTGTCTGTGTGGGTGTGAGTGTAGTGTGTGCGTGTGTACGTGTGTGTGGGTGGCTAGCTTGCAGGTGTTCGCAGGCGCACGGATGACGTGCGATTATTTGTGGGTACTGGCGTCTAATTGCCGCCTCGCTGTTGATATGGGCCCACATGTTTCAATTTCTTGGCCATAAAAAAGCGAAAAGCGGGCAGCATACTGGCCATTTAACTACGCAGTAGGCTGCGACACAGGCTCCCAAAAATAGGCGCAGAGTCCTCTGGTTTTGGCTTTCCGCACCCAAGTCGCCTTGTTTTGGCATGAAAAACACGCAGAACAGAAATAGCCAGAAAGGCCAAGGGAAGTGGCTCTGTTGGCATATGGCTGGCTGACATTTTGTGTAGCATACTTCTGGGCTGTCACTTAAAATGTTCTTTCACACACACACGCACACACACACTGCCGCACTGTCACACGCACACCAGCAAGCGCTTGATGAAGTTCAGTGTCAAATTTTTCGCTTCGCTTTCAGCCACAAAAATAAAACACACACGAGCTTTCCGGGCGCCATATTCCACAGACTTGGCTGGCTTTTAGTCGGTGAAAAGTGTTATTTAATATAATAACAGCAACTAAGGCATCCTTACAGTGCTTTTCCTAATTTTTACTGTTTTTCGTGCTGCCCAAGTCCTTGCTGCTGCTGCTCTTTTCTGGCTTTTCGCTCGCGTTGACCGTCAGCCGAAGGACTGCCTGTCCTACTGAAGCGCCGTTCCTCGGCAGCCCTGCCTCGTAGTCGCTCTCGTGGACTCGCTGCTCGGCGTTCCGCCTGCCAGCGTACGTACTGTACAGTGTGCCCTCACCCACACACACACGCGCCCGAAAGCAGTCCAAATTCCTACGCACTTCGCTGTAGGTTAGGCACACGCACCATTAAGATAAAGCTCCACTCAAGCTTTTGGCCATGCTTTTATTGGCCCACAGCTGCGGCCGGAATTGAAGCACTTGACTGGAATTATTTTCGGGTGCAATCCTCAGAAAGGTGCTCCTATTAATATGTTTTTAAAGCTGTGGTCTGCACGACATACACTTGAATATATTTTCCCACGATCCTAGCACCCTTAATTAGTTATATATTAAACTATATTTATAATAAGGAAACAAATTAAAATACTTGACTATGGCAAGTGCACTTCTGAAGCCTATCGACATGTCCGCGACTGTAATCTGACACATATTTTGCGAGTGCCACTGCGAGTATCCAACGTCAATTGTCAGAGATGCCACCCACTGGCTACTAAGTGAAGAGTACCCTGTACAAACTCGATTATAAAACGGGCAGAGAACAACAACTTGCATTAGGCACCCGCAATTTACAGGGTACCTCAGCAGCTTTGAAACAGTGGGCTAAGTCCTGCGAAAGCTGCCCTAGAGCAACAACAATGAAAGTCACCGCCCACCAACTTCGCTTAGCCATTTGACGTAGGTTGACAGCTGTTTGCGCTGGCCAAACTTTATGGCTATTGATTTTGCTCCGAGCTCCGAGCTCCGAGTTCTGAGGACGCAACAGTTTGAAAGTCGCAGCTTTCACTTTCGCGGCCCGAGAACCGAGTGGTGGTGGCCACCACCCACTGCGCCTGTCCGTTGCCTCTGTGTTAGTGTGTCAGAGCGGCGCCTGCGCTGGTTTTTTCCGAGGAAAGCTCCGCCGCAACAGCCTGTTGCCGACGTAGGCAACATCCGGAGAACAGCCAGCTAGATGCAGCCCCCAGAACTCCAGCCATGGCAGCCGCTTCCAGGTGGCGCCGATGCACTGGAAGCGCTCCCAGTACCCCGCAATCCCGCCCAGAAACCTAGACAATGGCCGTCCACATGCCAAGGCGTCGCAGTTGGCTCGGCAATTAATTTGATCACTTGGCTGAAAGGCGAGCTGCATGCTAATGCCGCCTTAATGAGTTCTGTTTCCGCCTCAACGGAGGATTATGACTGCTGCTCCTGGCAAAAAGGGTCGTTTAACGTTGGGCTTTGCCGTTGTGGATCCCAGTGCTGGTGGCTAGTGCTGGTGCTGCCTTGCAACAGGTTGCCAATGGCATCCGGCGGCGGCCATTATTACTCAGGGGACGGAGGCCATTTTGCATGGCAAGCAGGAATGTAGGCAATGAAAAGGGCCCACATGAAGGGTTGCATACTTCTCGGCTGCGAAGGTTAAGGGAGGAATCCATTCAGTAGTTACGAAGCGCACTGAACGAAGTGTTATTACATAAACTTCGGATCTGCGCAACAAAGAAGTAAGTTTGAAATGAAGCAGAACACAAGCTTTGAACAGAAAATCCCACTCCAAGGCCATTAAAAGCATTTGTACCATTACATTTAATGTAAATCTTTATTAATGTCATTCATTGAACTCGTGTAAATTTTGTTGTTATTCATAGTTGTTATTTTGTCATAGTTGCAGGCTTTCTTTTCAATTCTTTAGCATGTATCTAACTATAATAAGTGGCGGCAAAGTTACATTCGAAATCTCCAAAAGTGTTTCAGTTTGCAGTTCTGTTTTTGGGGATAGTTTAGAATATGTAATCGTGTCACTGTGTTACTCAACAGTTTTCAAGTCAATTTCATAAGATACACAACTTGCATTTATGCCATAGATATAGTCTTGTTATGATTTCAATTGAGTGAACCAAAGGCAGTGGTGTGTGGACAAACAAAAGGCAATGCAGCTTCATAAGTTTTTGATTCTTTATTTTTTATATTAACTATAAATTTTGTTTCTTAGTTTTACGCTCGCTGTAAATACAATTTCTAGTTCGATGTCGAGCTTAGCATGAGTTAGCCTTTGCTAGTGTGTGGTGTATGGTGAGGGCTTTTCTTGTTTCGTGGGGCGGATGCTGTGGGTTGATGTGGGATGGGTGCTATGGACAAGGCCGAATCGGATGGTAATCGGTATCGAATAGCCTACTTAAAATTTGGTTAAACGCTAATTTACACAAGATACAACTAAGTAGTTAGAATTAGGCTTAAAAAAACAGACATTAGCACTGTAACTGTACTTAGACTAAGTGATGTTTGTGATTTAGTCGCGTTTGTAGTTCTATAGTTCTGTAGTTCTGGTTGTGACGGATTCGAGTGTGGTAACTGAGTAACTGAGTGAAGACTGTGGCCCCTCATCAGCGGTAAGGCAAGTTTAACAGACGGCAATTGGTAACAACAAATGTTCGGCTAGTGACGGTTGCTGCTCAATGCTCTCTCTCTATGTACAACGATTTGAATATGAGTAATGCTTAGATTTTGGTTTTGTTTCAAGTCTAAGTCGAAGGCACTGATTCTCTACTCGGCTCTCAATTTAATATCTGTGTCTGGCTTAGTCTGTGTGCTAAGTGCTTCTGTTTTCTTCTTTTCTGGGCGGGCGAGGTGCAACGAGTTCGCGGCACTTGCAACAACTGTCACCGATCTCAGCTGCGTCCTAGTGTGCACATAAAAAAATAATACATCATGATTACTAAATGTAATAGAAATAAGAGTGGTTTACATTTAATTTCTTTGCGTTACATTTACATTTATTTACTTTGTTTATCCGCTAGTACATTTAGTACAAAAATGTGCATGAGTGTAGTGTGAGTGTTTTTGGGTGTTTTCTATTCGATCTTTGCTCTATTTCGTAATTTCTTTGTAATTTTCTCGCTGCCTCGTTTAGTAGTTTATTACTTCGATCTTCATTTTTGCTTGCATTAATTTAATGGTTCGCTTATGTTGTAACTATGAGTATGAGATGAGTTGAAAGCAGATTTTGCAAATGAGTTTACTACATATTTATTCGCTTGCGCTAGTGTGTGTATGTGTGTACAATGGTGGTGTTTATGTGTATGGATGTGCTTTGTTTGGTTCAATAATTTAATATAATTTAAATATTTTTGTATTTAGTTTTGCGCTGCTTGCGTTCCTTCGTTCCTACGTTTGGCGCCCGTTTAAACAATAATTTACGTTAGCTTTGTTTACTTATTGATTACTAGATAAAGCATTCGATATAACATAAACTTGCATAGATAGATACTTGGATAGTTTGTAGTAGATAGCCTAGCCGACCTAAGCCTAGTAGCAGAGCAGTTACAATAATTTCTCGTTCATAATCCGAACTCGCCGCGCCAGTTGCAATTTAATTTATACATCGAAAAGGGGCGGGCGTGCGCACTCTTAGATTAACATTCATTAGCATAGCTTATAGCAAATCATAATACGTTATATGCATATATGTATATAGTAATGTTGTGTTCTCATTCAACACAATTGTTCTGTGTACTCTGCTCGTACACGCGCACAAAAAACAATTTCGACAAAAAATAAGTGGAAATAATAACATAAAGTTGATATAATATGTTTTTGAGAGGGAAGGGGATTTGAGTTTTACAAAAACTAAGATTCTACTCGTACAATATATCATAATCGGTATACAGTATATTAAACGATATCGTTAGTGTAGCGTACGTATAGTAATAATTATCATTATAACATAGTGTTTCAGTTTGAGAGCTATACTGGTCTCTCGCTACTTCGCTACCAAGTGTTTGCTTGATTTCTTTCAGTAACTACTTTCATTGTTCGCTTTTCAACGCTTGTCTTCACTTCGATGTCGTCTGGTTTGATCCTTCGATCGATCCCAGTTTGATCCCTCGATCGGATCGTTCGTTGCGGTGGTCGAGCCTAGGGCGTCTTCAGCAGCAGGATATCTTTCTTGCGCGTGCGACTGGCGCTGGCATTGAGTCGCTGGTAGAAGTAGTTGCGCCCGATCTTGCGCTGCAGCTTGTAGGACTTGCCCGCCAGGAACCTGGTGATGTCCAGCACGTAATCGGCCACGTCCTCGTGATCCTCGAGCAAATGTATCGATATCACATCGATTTTGACTTTGTCGAAGGGCAGCGTCTGCAAGATCTGCAAGCGAAAAGTGAATCGTTTAGCGAAAGTGTCAAGCGAGCGAGTTAAGCTATTGGGTCACTCACCTCCAGCTCATGCCCCTGTACGCCCAGGCTGAGCAGATCGTATTCGGTGCGCTCACATGCCAGCATGATTGTGTAGAGCGGAAAGCATTTGACACGCGAGTTGAACCACGAGGTCTCCTCGTCGTGCAGACTATTGATGCGCACATCCTCGTTGTGTATGGTAATCTGCGAGCAAAAGCGGGAAAGCGGGGAGCATTAGTCACCGATCTGCGAGAGATCCGCATCTCAAGCCACTACTCACTACTCACCTCTTTGGGATAGGTATTGGGCGAAACACAGGCGTGCACCACCTGCATGCGCGCCCGCTGGGCATTCTGCTTGCGCAACGTGAAGTACCAGCGCGGCTCCGGCTCCACCAGCACGCCCATCCAGTTGAGCTGCTCGCTCAGCCAGGGCGCCGTGATGAGATGGGCGAGCGGACCGCTCAGCGACTGGATCACCGCTCCGTTCATCTTACCGCCCACCAGATCGGCCACGTAGTGGGCCAGTTGATCGGCTCCACTGCCGCTGCTGTTGCCACTACCGAATGTCGAGCTGGTGGCGGCGAGGCGCGGCGAGTTGGGCGGCGGACCCACGCCCACTGCTGCCGCGGCCGCGACCTTGGGCGACGCCTTGCCGAGATACTTGCCCATGTGGATCTGGCGCAGGAAATCAATTAGTGCGGGATCGTCTTGCGCAACGCCATTCAGCTCGTAGTCGCGCGACATGTTCAGCCGAAACTGCTGATGGCGAATCTCTGCAGGAGGAAAATCGAATCCAAAGATCAGTTCGAGTTGGTTTGGAGCAGTGGCGGTAATTGGATTTAATTAAAAGTTGTTGCACCACTGGACGCATGGCGTGTGTGGCTCAAACTCTGCCACGCTTCGCTGCCAATTGGAGCGCATTGACCACATTTGCATTGGCAAATGGGTGCGCTGCAAAAGAAGGGCA